ATAGACTTACCTCCACGTGGTGCACCCAGGACAACGTATATTCATACGGCTAAAAAGTTTATCAATGGGCAGTTGTCTTCTGATTTCAAACTGCCATGACCCCACTACATGCCATATTCGACTACTTCCACAGTACTCACCTCACCTTTTTTCTACCTTCGTCTTTGAAGCACTCTTCTGCNCCCCCCTCTCGACTTTTTCCACTTTGATGTTCTTCTCCCTCTGTGAAGCCTTAAGTCAACTAAAGGGCTAATGATAACTATCAGAACGCCTGGCATTTATATAAATAAATAACTTCGCGACATAACCAAAGCACAAAGATCTCCTCTTTGATACTGTTGCTGTCATTTTACCCCCCCCCCCTCCCCAATACTTTGAGAACTTTCTTCCAAAACCCCCCAAAAGTTAGGTCTGATCTAAATCACCTCCTTCTTTACTGAAACCATTTAAAATTGTTGTGATTGAGATTCCCAATTTCCATGGGCATTTTAAAATTGACCATTAGCAAGAATGCTTCAATAGCTTACTAAGAAAGTGCTCACTTTTACTATAAAAAGCTTACTTTAGAGCCTTTTTAACATCTAGTTAATATTTGATTGAAGTGGTACACGGTAGGTCTTTTTTGTCTGCATTAGTGTTCAAGATCTAAATTCCTGTCGTACAGGAAGAATTATGGTTCCTATCCAGCTTCTGGGATTGAATAGGGGGGGGGGGGGAACAGCAAAAGTAGTTTCAGGGTATCACGCGAACGACATTCCATCTGGGATCTAGGACTGCCAGATCAACCGTTTCGTTCATTTGAAATTTGATCTCTGACTCCCCTAATCTCCTCATTACCTTTTCTTCTGATATGAAAATCCGTATCAGCCGATTTCGTATGACTCTGAAAGGTTCCATTTTTTAAAAGCTTTGTATCATTCTTCTAATAAAAAATCGAGTTTACCCATTGGTGGATCATCTCTGGATTCGTGATCAGTCGGGTCTACGACCTCTCATCTTACTTAAATTTCCAAGGAATTGATAACAAATGGGGTCCACATATTCTTCCTCTTCATGTCTTCTTTCAGCTATATTGATTTGGAGTACCAACTTTCGGTAGATAGGCCCATTACTATTCCCAAACCCTCCTGTCAAGCTCAATTTAAATTAGTTTATTGAGTCAATAAACCATGACTATAACCTTAATATTAGATTGATTTATTATAAAGTCATATTATTTTACTATTTTAGTTAAACAACGAAAATCTATTCTTTCCCCTCTATTTGACTCAAATGTTGCACGCAAATTTTCATGGAGTCCAAATGTACGTTTAGAAGCTATTCTCATTAATAATAGCTCATTTGTCAAACCTACCTCAGATATTTCCTATTTTTTCCCCACATTCAGAAAGTGATGTTTCGTAACAGGTCTTCCGATGTTAATCAAGAAGCGCCACTTTTACTTCGGTTGAAACACTTGGAGGCGACGGAGGTAATTTTTAGAATATCATCAAATATTGCACAGTTTTCAGGGACATTAAAGATGGTATTAACGCACTGAAGGCAGTGAGCAGAGATTCCACTTTTTAAATTCTGATTCGAGGGCTCAAAGCAGTTTTGAAAGAGATGATTTGTTTTAATCCTCCAGTTATTTCGCCTTTTACAGTTTGATTTGCCTTATGAAAGTTTATCGAACTAGCTGTCAGCTGCATTCATGCTTAAATATCATAGTTACTAATTTTAAATGCACCAAATCTGTCGATGGCAAGGCAAATGAATTTCCCAGTTTTATTAATAAGAAAACAACAAAATATGCTAAGTAGATTAACAAGAGATCATTTAAAGAAGAGAATGGATATTCGTAAGTTAGGTATAGACGCACTTCCCTCAAGTCTAAGCTGACTTTCTTATTTAACGATGACCGCTTATAGCGCGAAGCACACCTCAATACCTGATCTCAATCTAAGCCTTTCTCAATCGTGTCTTAATAGACCCATTTGACCTTGAACAGATATTGGCTGGTAGGGCCTGAGATTCTCCCCAACGTGTTTTGGCTATCAACTATAAGAAGAAATTCAGAATTACTTCAAGTGGATTATGAAATACTTGCAAATTCTCCATTATTACAATAAGAATAAACACTAATATGCAACTGCCAAATTTGCTTTTGCCAATAATATTTCTAATTCCCCCCATTAGCTAAAACAAGTCATATGGCATGTCCGTTCGGGCACGACTTCAAAGAACGGTCGTTCAAAGAGTTACAATGGCAGCGAACAGAGCTTCCTTCTAAACGGCTCCGATACTGCTAGCGTGATATCATCATCTGGCTACTCTTCAATTAATTCCATGAATTTGTACTCTCCTGCCTCAAATAATTGTTGTTTTCGAACCTGTCTCACAGTTGTTCTACACGCAGCAGTGGAATGTACTTGCGATTCTGACAGATTTATTCGCCACCAAGCCGTTCAGGTTAGATCTTGATTAATTTTGATTTTGATGTCTACTTATAAAAGTTAAGTAGACATCAAGATTGATGATTAACAATATATGTAATCCGTTGATTGTATGATTTATTATCGCAATTTCGGAGACACGAAAAATGAGAACTAATAAAAGAATCATCTATAAGTGAATTAGTTTAAGAAAAATTACCTATGGTTACGTTTCTAGACACTTTCTAAAGTGACCCAAGTTATCGGACTGTTTGATCATACTCTTTTGGCCAATATTATCATGACTCATATGAGTTTTGAGCCAACCCTTCTTACCTACGGATGCCTGGAAATATTACTCAGTATCCTCGTCAGCCTAAAAAGTGGAAATGTAGGTTTCGATTGATTTGATTATTATATACTGATGGCCTTTTATACAATAACATGACCGCATCTACAATTTCAGATTGGGAATATTAGCATCAACTTAGCGAACACCGAGCAAGCGATTCAACTGTCTCCAAGTCTTCTTAGTGCCCTTCTTAGCATTGAACGATCAAGAATTTGGCTCCGAACTTGCTCGCATTATATTGATTCAAGAGAGACTTTCGATGCTGTGACCTTGAATGCGATACAAGTGGTGATGTGTGCCCTCACTTCGGTTCATCAGTTGATACCCCTTAGTAGCCGACTTTCTCAGGTTAGAATAAATGGTTAACGCATTTATAATTTTATATTTTAAATAAAATATCGATTTGAATCTCTCGAAAGTCTTGAAGAGACAGTGGCAAATGATAAACTTTTACTTTACTAACAATGGTAGCAATCTCTTTTCTTACTTACAGCTGGAAACTTTAGCGGAAAGGGATGAAGACGCAGATGACGCACAGAATGAAAACGATGATGAGAGAGATTATGATCAGTGTTTGGAAGATAATGCAAAGACTTCCTTTGCTCCTGGTGGTGATAATCAGCTGGACATAGATATTGAGTCTCTGGTAAGCTTTTGAAACAACTTGAAAACTTTATACTTATTATAAGTTAAATAATGAGAATTGAACTAAAATATTTCATTTGAGTTATTTTGGGAGTCTAGTCGAACTGAGCTTGATAATCTATGATAGAGCAAATGATCTCCTTGAAGCCCAAAGGACAATAGACCCTTTGTTAAATGAGGATGCCAAAGTGCTAAGTCGGCCACGGACTTAATTGGACAATCTTGAATAAAGTATGGAATAGAAAGAAGAAAGGAGGGGTAAGTGAAGTTGAGACTCAGAGAAGAACGCACCAGTAATGGGCTTGTGGGATCTGAGTCACTAAAACAATGTTTATAGAGACATGATAAGAGTGAAAAATGAAATAATAAACAGTCACGTGGGGGCTCAAAGATATGAGTCAGTGTTTGCGTATTTCAAGCCCTTCAGTCCTTACAAGCGTCGTTCATAAAACTCATTATCACCTGTCAGTTAGGACAAATTAGGGTCAAAATGCAAATATTAATAAATCGGTCATTGGATTATAATGGAGCTATTTCTTTTCTTCATTACAGATCTTAGCTGTAGACAGTATAGAGAGTCTAATTCAACGCTTGTTATCCTTGCACAATTCACGACACAAGGAATACGACTGCTTTGGTTGGATTCCAGAATCACCAACAAGGTATATTTTCCTCAAATATTCCAAACCATTTATAATTTTTTTATCTGAATACATTCTGTGCTTGACTTCTAGGCGTCGCAGGAGTGCGAATGGTGTCATTTATACCGCTACAAATGAGGAAACATCCCTTGAATTCACTTACCTTATACTCCGTCGAGTTGAGATGCCACTACAAGTTTACTTGGGATGTAACTCAAGACGAGGTCTATCTCGCGTTCCCAACCACCTTCAGCCCATGAATGTCGAGACAGTCGCTGTGGTATTGAGCAAACTTATTGACTCCCTCGCTTCCCTGGGTTTCAAAATGTATATGACTCAATTTATTTCCAGAAGACGCGAGTCTATCAGTGGATTGACAGCACCAGTTTATATTGAAGCCTTGAGGGAGAAGTGTATGATCAGTATAATCAATTTGTAAGTAATGCACAAAACCCCTAAAGCTATGATCCAATGAAGGTGTTTATTTATATATCTTGCATTGGCCTTTCCTTTTAGGATTGGTTTAATTACTGAGAGTCTGCCAAAAAGCCCCGTGTTGGGTGTTGACACAAAAATTGATTTCGATGATTCTAGAAGGCAAACCCAAAGCGCAATTTATAGATTGGAATCTTACGTGAACTCCTCAGCTCGTGTCAAAGAGACTTGCGACAATTTTATCAATATTATCCATGATATCATCAACTTTGCAGTAAGTCAAAATGACCACAAATCAAGACTAAGAGATATGGGATCCAAGTTGGAAGGTGGAAGGTAACTTTTCTCACTTTTATAGAGAAGAAATCTCTACCCAAAGTCCTTCATGAAGTGTTCGCATTGGTGGTGGATAGGTCACATGTGTTCGAGCCTTCCAAACCTCTGTCAAACTGCTCCGGGTCAGGTTGACACCTCCCGCCTGGTAGAACTCCTATGTAACGAGATCTCCACGTTGCGAATGAACACTACCTCCTCAAGGGATACTGTTATGAATGGATTGCGAGACGGTCGAAATCAATATTTAACATTACCCTCAATGCCGAGATCACCACCAGTATCTTCCTCCTCGGCTTCATCTACTTCCTCAGAGGAACCTAAACCAGCACAACTCAATTGGATGCGGGTAAAGCACGTTTCAATGGCAATGGGTAGTCTCCAAAATGCTTCTAGAAGACCTTACAAACACCAAAAGTTAAGCCTGAAGGTGGAGAGGGTGAAAAATAGTGGAAGCCACTCGGATGCAGAAGTTTCGAGTGGAGGGAAGTCAGATAATGAATCACAAGTCGAGTCAACTTCAAGTGGATGTGAGAGTGGTAAGAAATAAGATAAAGTAAATAATCTGAAAATTTCATTTCTTACCCCTTCTATTTTTTTCTCTGATTTGGATGACCAATAGGAATAAGAGCTTACTTTTTCCTTATTTTTCAATTTTTATGACGCCCAATTGCCCTCTTTACAATAAAAATTAATCTAACCCCAAAGGTAAGCCAACGACTCAAACGACAGTGCTTTAATATTAAAGATATAATGAATTCGCTCATGTGCCATTGAACCTAAGGCGAACGACTGGTTGCCCAATTAGCCAATAGTTGTTGCGATTACCACCCATGAGCGCATAAATTCAATAACCGATAATCTACTGTGTGAACAATTAAGCCTGTTTTTATAACTATTTCAGTACGTACCCAAAACCAGCATGGGACGAAGTTTACTGAAAGAAAATAGCCAAAAGTACTTTCACTAATGTTTATGGAACAGACTGCAGTTTTCTCTCCTTCTCCATAATCTAATTTAGAAAATAGCTCTTAGAATATACTTGTTTTACTTATTAATCTCCCATTTCCAATGCTTATAAAATTACGGAGATTAATAACCCGGCATAAGTAAAAACGTGAAGCTATTTGAGGAGCAGTACTTTCTAATGCCGATAATTATTTGTAAAAAAAAATATAGTAAGTGAACCCAATAGGAAGCTTATTCAAAGCGTAACGTTGTATGTGGCAAATTGTAAATTAAGTCAATTGATGACTACCGATTAAGAACTACAGATGTACGGAACTATGCTTACAAATGCTCTACATGCAGACAAATTTACGAAACGTGCGTTTTATCTACCAATTTTAAAAGGAAATCATTTAATCAATAAATGGCATTTTATAAGAAAGGAACACATGATAGAAGAAGCACCCGCTAGTTTCTTCTAAGTCGCCTCTTGGTACCTTGATCTTCGCGTGTCACTTCTCGACGGTCTTTGACTCTAACAGCAAATGAGTTCCGAACAACGTAGGAGCGCCGATAGTCTGGCATATTCTCGACAATTTGAACGAATGGAAAATTATTCTCCCACTTTTCACTCACCACATAAATGAATCCAAAGCTGACCCTAGTATGTTAGGTCTTGAACTCATATAGCAGGCAACATCTAAAAGAAAAAACTTCTTTCTTCCTGCCCTAGATGAAGCAAAGTCAATGAAAAGCGAGCCAAGGTAAGATCCATAATTACTTACAGAAAAACCATCACATTTAGATCAGGGTCAAATTCAAACGATAGATCACTTCTAAAGAAGCAGGATTTCCAACCTCTTTCAATAGAAGAAACTTCGATTCTTGTCGCCAAGCTTATAAAATGTAGCGATGCAAGTAGGTTCCACTACTCCTAGCAAAACTTTAACCCCCAAGAAAAGGTGAAATATGGGCATAACATATCGACTTGTTTTTCTTTTAGGAACAATTGAACCCCTTCAAAACATAATTCCCAGGGATATTGTCTCCCGAGTACGGAAAATGATCCAAGAGGAACAAAAAACTTAAAGAAACAGCAAACGCCTTGACTCGATTGACATTTAAAACCCATACCAAAAAAACAAGAACAATGGCATGCATATTTTAAGATTAATACCAAATAGACTTTTTACTGTATGAAGTAATAATATTACCTATTTATTATATACATCTATTGGAGCATTTCTGGACTTGGATAACTTCCTTTCAAGCATCCGAGTAGTCATCAGAGCTAAGGCAACCAATGGAAGCAGTAGCTGCTGCCCCTGGTAATGGCCAGTCACTACTAATGTATCTAAGGCACCGCTAAAACCGTAGTTATTGGGTTACGGGAGAGAAAAAGATAGACCAGTTCAGGTAAACAAATAGTCTCCAGGTATTAAGATTTCCACAGTGTTTGTCAACTAGCTAATAACTAATAAGGCCAGACTATCTCAGACACGCACAATTGTTACTATCCGTGTCTACCAAGTAAGAGATTGCGGATTGCTTTCCCATCGACACTCACCCAGCAAACGGAATGACCATCGATACTAATTAAGTCCTGCTAATTAAAAGGGTGGTGGAATCTGAGACTTTCAGGAATTGCACAAGAAACATCATCCAAACTGGATAAAATATTGATATGTGGAAGTAGATAAATTCATGGGGGGGGGGGGGGGGGTAAATGAAGGCACCATTTGACGAACGACAAAATTAAGCTCTAAAGGGGAAGAATATTTCAGCAAGGTCAACAATTCCAAGGTGATCGTTTTACCCTTAGTTTCAAGAACTCCTACAGAACTGGCAATACTTACGCTTTGAATGTTGGCACACAGAGCGTTGATACCAGTCAAAATGCTTAATCTATGACAAGGACACCAGAATAAGCCACGAACTACAGATTTATTCAAATGTCAAATTAGACGTCGAAATTCAAAGATAGGTAGGTAACATAGGCATTTATTAAAGTACAACGTTAAAAACAGAAAGAAATCTTAAAAGACGCTCATTTAATAAACAATCAATATTTTACATGGTACAAAATTACAGAAGATCTACTCAGCCTTTCGTCGTTTTGCACTTTTTGGCTCTTCCGAGACATCACCATTATTCATCCTCCTTTTCTGGACTCCCTTAACATTGAGCTTATCATTTGAATTCTGTTGACGCTCAAATCCTCGCTTCACATGACCAGTAAGAGCTGTACGCATGGACATTCCGGGACGCATTACATCCAGAGCGGTTTCACGCTGCAAATGGATTTGTCCAACGCGATTTCCGTACATATCCATGCTCGTGTTCTTGGTTGCCTTATCCTTCTTTCGGCGCACTTCTGCTGGTACACGCATAGCTCGCTTCCACTTGTCCTATGAAGAGGAAATTAAGAAATTCTCAGCCTGAATCAGAACCCAAAACGAAATTTTATTGAAGATACTTACTTCCGATGGCATCTGCCGTCTACGTATGACAAAATCGACTTGTGGAGCAGCTTCGTTGAGCTCAATATTTACATAAGATCCCCAAGGAGTCTGTAAAGGTTCAAGGGTCGTCTGATCTTCAGAAGTGATAGAATTATCAGTTGGCTTCTTGAGGGATTTCAAACTAATTGTCTGGACTCGCATGATAAGCTTCTCGGGTGTAGGCATTATGAAATGGATAACGTATTCGATTCCGGAGGTGTTAACTCTGGAAACCTTAGGACCACGAAACAGATCTATTTTGTAATATGTACAAAGAATAATTCACGCTTACCGATGAGTATTGATTTTAATCGTTGATTCTCTTCACTTTCGTCAAATGCTTCACCAGAGAAGATTAAAACGGGCTTCATACCGTAGGACAGCTTAACGCTCTAGGCAAAGTTGGAATAAAAAAAGACATACCAGTGATTTCAGAGAAACGTATCTTTCAATGCCAAGCTCATGCATATCCAAGATTTCATGGTCATGAAGGCGGCCAATGACAATGTTGTTGGGTCTTTTCTTTGAATGCATCCCAGTCACAAATAAAGAGCAATCATACTTATTGCACTGGTTTTCCTAATAAGGAAATATAAAATTATATCCTAAAGCGTACAATGAAAGATGCATCTTCAAAAGGAAGAATCCGATTTTTGCGCTGTAATTTTCTGGCGAAAGGGCTTTTTAAGGAGGCCTAAAGCATGAGCGAAAGATAGTACAAATTACCAGATCAGTGAGGAAACTGTTAACAATGTCGCTGGTGTGTGCGCCTTTGAATATTAAAGTATGCTTGTCATTCTCATGAATTTTCGGCTCACGGTCAGCCAAAAATTTACGTCCTTTATGAGATTTTGGTTTACTAATCGCACAATGAAACGTTTATCAATAGAACTTACGAAATCTTTCGATCAATTTCCGTGGCAGGCATAATAGCAAAGCACGAGGCCAATCAAAAATAGCACACTGAGTAATTGAGTGATTAACTAAGTGTGTAGCATACTTAAAGAAATGCCTTCTCGGCTTTGTTCTAAAAGTATCTAGATAGTTGTACTTTTAATTTTATTAATAAAATTAAAATTTTTCATAATCTCATTAATGAGTTTTTATTTGATCTGTGTGTATGGCTTGAATAATGGAATTAAATATTAATAAATTTAGTAAGGCTTAATTGAGTCCTATTTTACTTTTATTAATGCTAGCCTTTACCATAAATTTGCATTGAAACCTTTGAAAAAAGTAATAAGCAAATGTCTCTAAATTTTTCATGTTATTCAATTTGGCATAGGTCTGGAAAATAGTTTCCAAAACAAATTATGGTAAATTTCTATCATATCAATGTCTATTTAACATTTATGATTCATTGTTTAATATTTTATAGTATAAAAAATCATCAAAATCGTTCGTCGGCTCAGAACCATATTTCTTTTCATAAAATTTTATTGTTAAATACACCCTATTTGTTATTAAATAATGCACTTCAAAAGAAATGATTTTCCCTAAAGCAACTAAAAGTATGGACTAGAAAAAAATGAAACTATCCCAACTATCTGCTAATTGGTTAAATCTAAATGCTATTCGGTATAAGCTCCTTGTCATTCTAGATCGATCAATCAGTCAAATTTATCGACAACTCCGTCATAATTTTCGTCATCCGTTTTACCCCCTTCGTTGCTAAGGCAAACTGACCATAAATAACGCCTTTATGAAAAAAACTAAAATTACTAAAGCCTGTGTTTTCCCCTTATGGCGAAGCAACTCGAACTTCGTTAAGTGTCCATCAGTAAGCAATAGGTGTTAATGTATATTAATATCAAATGGTAGACGCCTTGATAATTAGCATTAGCCCTTTAGGTGACCACGAGCTCCACAGAGGGGAAGAAATTCAAATTGAGAAAAGTCGAGAGGGGAGCAGAAGAGCTTTTTTATAGATGTGAAAGAGATAGACATAAAGGTTGAGAAAAAGTTAGGTGAATATTGTGGAAGTGGTCGAATATGGCAAACAGTTGGGTCATGGTAGTTTGAAGTCAGATGTCAACTGACCGTTTATGGACTTTTTGCCATATGAGTATACGTTGCCCAGGGTGCACTACGTGGTGGTAAGTCTAATAGCTGTTAATATTAATTATTACATTCGCTTGATGACTTTTGATGACTGCCAAGCTCGTGATTTCAAAAATAATTGTATCTGTGCCCTTTTCCAATGCTCCTGTTCATTGATTACCTTTCTACGCTTGACCTTACTTCCGAACGTACCCATATATCTATTTTATACAATTTACGCTCCGATAGGGCCACAATTAACATGTGAACCCAGTGAGTGAAATGGGTAACCTCATTGGTTATGTCTCTCTAACATAGATAGAGAGAGAGAGAGTGCGCGTTGTGAAAGCTAGTTTCTCAAAGGTGAACTTCTATTGTGATACTGTCTCATCTCATATGCAAGCCTTGAACTCATTTCCGTGTTTCTACCAACTGGCTCGGTCCAGATTTAATGTGACTCGAATTCTAATCAATTAAAGTACAATTAGAACTAGTCTATTCCGAAGATAATTCGTATGTATTTTACTAATGCGCCATATTGTAAATAACTGGATTGCTGTATAAGCTTCTCTTCATGAATTGCATGTCAACAGCTGGTTTTAAACATTTACCTATCTACGCCTGAATTCTCAAGAGAGTCCAAATTAAGTCACTTATGTCTCAATCAACCCGTTCGGCTTTGAATTTCATTATCATAATTTGAAAGAGTTACAGAAATTATTTTAAACAAACTCATTCTAAGGATAAATGATTTCATATCTCTCTTTTCCCGCCTGACATATACATCTGCTTACATGTCAACCCATAGATACGTGCTTTCCTACCATTCAGATGATGATTCTTACTGAATGCCTATAGATAAGCGCAGAATCAGCCCGTCGGTTGTGAACACTCCGGGTTCTGCTCTTTCAGTGCTGATGCCAATTATCTTCTCTCATTGGTCTTTATTCACTCTCGTTTTACGCTGTTATCTAACTCATGAAAGGCTGTCGTATTCTGCTAATATTTAGAATGCGAGGGAGATATCTTTATGACAAGCTTGGTAGGTCTCTTAAAAGTAGCTCTATTGCTGAGATTTAGTAGAACTTGGCATTCAAGTACACTGTGAGCATAAAACTCTTAAATTAACTTTCCCACGTTTTGCTTGATCTTGCTAAAATTTTATAAATTGCCTTGAATAGCAACGACAATATTCCTATGGGAAAATTAATCTGCTTACAGCTGATTTTTGCTCCATATTTCAAGATGGAGTACAGCTAATTGCGTTTCAATTAAAGCGAAAATTTTGCTCAAAATAAGAAAAGGGCAAAGAAGATTAGCAGATATTGTGCAAAAGTTTTGAGCAAACTTGTGGTGGATGAAAATTATCGGCCAATCCGAGGTTGTGGACGATAACACCCACTAGGAAAACTTTACAAAAGCTATTTGAATAGGAAGTACTGAGGAGTTGGAAAGGCGTTTGACAAGGAGGTTCAGGCCCAGCACTAAAGCTCTCTCGGTGGGTGTGGTCTTGGAAGTTGTTTGGAGGAACCTGACTTTATAAGCAAGAGCTGAGGACAGAGATTGTAAAAGCTAATTATCGTAAAAACCATAGGGGAAATGACTATTCCAAGTCAAAGCCTAGACTACTGCAGCAGTCATATTGATTTTGGCATTTTGATTGTAGATTTACTTGCTAAGGCTTCGGAAGAAATTTTGAAGAAGGAAATTTGGTTATTCATTTCACATTTTCAACGGTGTTTACGCTCACAAAACTTTTGCCAAAAGCTCAAACACTTCTTTAATTCTTGTTTGTTGCGACAACGCGAATGCATCTTGACTGGAACCAATCGGAATCATGGAAGATAATAACTTCTAAAATGTTGATTCACTCAGGCAATCAAACTAGGGGAGATCACAGTTGCTCCTTAATGCCTCCCGAACACTGTGAAAAGAAAGCGATATGAAGTGGAGAATTGCAGTGAAGTCTACGAGGCACCTGTTGTAACATTTATTTATTTATTTCAAATGGTAGGCGTCTTGATGGTTATCATTAGCCCTTTAGTTGACTTCGGGCTTCACAGAGAGGAGGAGGAACATCAAAGTGACAAAAAATTCGAGAGGGGAACGGAAGAGTTTTTCAAAGATGTAAAAGAGACAGACACAAAGTTGGAAAAAGGTGAGGTGAGTACGGTTGAAGTAGTCGAATTTGACATATAGTGGGGTGATGGTAGTCTGAAGTCAGAAGTCAACTGCCGGTTAATAGATTTTTTCGCCGTATGAGAATACGTTGCCCAGGGTGCACCACGCGAAACCCATCTGTGGTAATATAACGGACGATCTAATCTAATTGCCCTCACACAGTAGCTTTTCGAGAGT